CCCCCACACACACACACACGCACGCTGTGAAAATGACCTGAAACTGCCTCAAGTGTCAGAATGTCCTAAAGCAAAGTCGACAAAGTGGCCCAATCATCCTCACTTCTGCTTAACAGCACCCCCTTTTAAAAAATGCATTAAGAGGAGACGGCCAGTTTCACCCCCTTTCAAGGAGCCCGTGCATTTGTGCGCGCGAGTGCTCCATGGAGGCACGCAGGATGCATTTGTGCGCGCGAGTGCTCCATGGAGGCACGCAGGAGAAGCCTTGGGCGAGGTCTGTTTTTCTTTTTTCTTGGTGGAGCACGAGCGCCATCAAGAGGTGGGTTACAGTAAGGTGGTCCCAAGAGGTGGGGAAGAGGAAGTTGGCCTGTAATGCGGCTTTATGGTTCTATTAAGTCGGCACATAAAGCTATACAAGCTGCTTTAAAATAAAACGGCGGGTTGTAATCGGAGGCCAGGTGTCAGGGCTGATTTGGGATTTGAGGAGAGGAGTCAGTCACGTGGTCACGTCCGACTGGAAATGTAAAGAAAAAAAGAATCCAAAGGAAATATTTTCTTCATGATACATTTAAAGACTTTTAACACAAAAAAACAACATATAGAGTGGGTTAATATAGTACCGACGCAATGCTGGGTTAACCCTTTCTTCCCCACTGTTGGACAGCTGGTCTGAACTCTAAACCTGCTTTGAACTGTAAAACACACAATCATTGAATCGAAAACTAAGGCAGGCAAATAAATGTTACTTACTTTATTTGTATTTGTATATCAAGCAGGCCAACAAATTAAGCTAACAGCAGAAAAGATCAACTAAATGTATTTTGGCGCATGAGTCTCTGTTAATTCTGCACAAAGCTTTTTGTATAACTCTGTATCTCTAAGTAGAGAAACATTTTTGTTCGGTTGCCAACATCTTCCTATGTTATTACATATGTAACATATGCACATACTTTTATCCATACTATATTTCATCTTTTATTATGAATATGTTCTACTCAGTCAGAGGCAGCTGTATGTATACGGTTAAATGTAATGTTATTGTTGTTATTATTGTTGTTATTATTGTTATTATTATTATTGTCTGCCCAGCCAGAGGCAGTGCATATGTTAGTATAAATGTATTGTATTTTTTCATATATTTTTCTGCCCAGTCAAAGGCAGATATATATATTACATTATTTACTGTTATTTTATTTGATGTCATAAGGTATTTTTTTATATTATATTATATATTATATTATATTATTGTTGCGGTATTTTTACATATGAACAACGATACTAATAAAATGCAACGAAATACAACTAAATAGGTTCCAACATTTATGCAATAACACACTAACCAATAAACGGTTAAGATTATTGGTTATTGATTGTATATCTATGATTATTTCTATTGTTATTCATACTTCTAATCGACTCATTATTGGTGCGTTTTAGACGTAACTGAAAAATGTGGCAATGGCTTCGCTGCTGATACGAACTGAGAAACAATGACAGAAAAAAGAGAGCACGTGAATGATAGGTGGAGAAGTGTAACAGCGTGTATCTCCTCTGTATCAGTGTAGTCCAGCTCGGACCCGTTTTATTACCGCAGATGATCGCTGCTTTTATGTTTTGAGGGACCTGGTGTGTGTGTGTGTGTGTGTGTGAGAGTGTGTGCGTGTGTGTGAGAGTTTGTGTGTGTATGTGTGTGTGTGTGAGAGTGTGTGTGTGTATGTGTGTGAGTGTGTGTGTGTGTGAGAGTTTGTGTGTGTGTGTGAGTGTGTGTGTGTGTGTGTGTGTGTGAGTGTGTGTGTGTGTGTGGGTGTGTGTGTGTGTGTGTGAGTGTGTGTATATGTGTGTGTGTGTGTGAGTGTGTGTGTGTGTGTGTGTGTGTGTGAGTGTGTGAGTTTGTGT